AGTAAGCTCCTGCAGCCATTTTTGAAATTCTAACTAAGAGTAGAAATTCAGTTTTTAATCGAAGTCTTCCTTGGCGTCACCGTCGTGGTTTCTTAAGGTCCCTAATACTAATCAGCCTGTGACTTTTACTGTTCTCTGTTACATGCTACCATCTCTCAACAATACCTTCCTCATCAATCTCAATCTCACCCCAATTGATGTCCTCCTCCAGTTTCAGAAAATCAGGTGTGGGTGGTATATCCGCAACAACTGACGTGGATGCTTGTGTCGTGCTGGTAACATCCCCATCTGCGTCCATTTTCTGATTGCTTTCTTCAGTGTCAAAAGAGACTTTTTCGTCCACCTTCAGTTTGGCCAAGTTTGCCTTTTGTACCGTTGTCAAGTCAATACTAGCAGAGTTTGCGCTGTGATCTTTTTGTTCATTTTGTGTTGATTGGTCATTGGAAGTATCTTGTTTTTCATCTGCTGGGTTTTCTGGTAAGTGTGATTTTTTACCTGTATCACTGTCTGTTGTTACAGTAGCTTTTTCATGAGCTATTTCACCAGTATCTGTATGTTCTGGATCCACCTGTGTCTCTGCATTTTCTTCATGTAAATTGTTGACTTGATCCCTGCATACAACAGCTGGCCCTTTCTTATCTCCAGAAGATTCATGCAAAGCTGATGCGTCCGATGATGATAATTCTTCTGTAGTCGTAGATTCGGGCTGTTCTTGAGAATCTTGAAGGTCATCTTGTGCCTTTTCACCAAGTTCATGGTGAGGAGTTTTGCTGTGGGGTTCATTACTTGTCACTTCTTTATCTGCCACAGATTCCTGGTTGTTCTGTTTATCTTCATTGATGTCACACTCCTTAGTCTTTCTTCTTTGTCTTCGTTCTCTTTGAGGTTTGGGTTGACCGATTCTTTGTGAAATCTCGGTTGATGTCTTCAAAGCAGCATCTGCACTCTTCTCTTCTTTCTTTTGAGTAACAGGTTTACTACGTTCTTCTTCCCAATTCTCCTTCCCAAGGCTCTCACCATTAGCTGTACCATCACGATTGTGTTTTTCTTTTTCTAAGGCTCCTCTTTCAGTTTTGGATCCAGTTCTCTTATTTTCCAAAACTTCACTTCGGTTGCTATTTCTTTGGATTTCAGAAGCCTGGGTTTCATGGTTGTCATAATGTCTAAATCCTCCTCCTTTACGACCTCTGTTTTCTCCATAACAATTGTTCCCCCTACTGTCATTGCCCCAGTCTTGTGCACTGCCATGGCCATCATATCGTCTTACATCCTTGGCACTGCCCTCTGATTCTTCAAAAACCCACATCCTCCGGCTGGCATCCCAGACCTTCTTCTGATCCCAAGTACGGCTCCAGTTTCCAGCCTTCTTTTGGCGAGCCCTCCTTTCTTCGTCGATCTTCCTTCTCTCATCTTTCCACTCGTGATACTGCTGCCGCTCTCTCCCTGACATATGCATCACCATGTTATCTCTACTTCTGTCTGATCGAAACCCTTCTTTCTCTCTCTGCATCCGACTAGCGGCTTTGCCAAAATTAGCTCCACCCCATGAGTGCTCATTCCGCCCTGCCATTTTGGACATATCCACTCTCCTGTCATCCACCAGAAACCTGCTAGCTGAGTTGGAAGTCCTTCCTTGTTTCCTCTCCTCCTCCTCTCTCATGACATTTTCTTTCCGTTTGGCCTCCCACTGCTTTGCTTTGAAAGTTTCTTTACGCATTTCCTGCAACATAAGACCCCTTCCTCTTCCTTGCCCTGTTCCAGCCACCCCTTCTGGCTGTGATGAATCATTGCTCACTCCTGACAATGCATCTCCATGTTGCTTCTTTATCTCTACCAACTTGCTGTACACATCAGCATTTTTACGATCTTCTTCAATTTCTTTTTGTCTTCTCATAAGTTCTTCATTGTTCTTCCTGATAATTCTCATCTTGGCCTCCACTAACTCTTCTTTGCTGGCCTTTTCCTCTGCTTTCTGTGCATCAGATACAGCTTTATTAGAATCAGTTTTTGAAGTCATTGTGGAAGGAAAATGTCTCTGCATCAACCACCTGAAACAGATGGAAATCAAACTCTTTATGCTTTCCCTTTCAGGAGTGATCATGCTTAAATTTTCCCAAGAGTGTCAATACATTATCAAGGAGATACATAATGAAGATATTGTTAGAAGGGGATATTGTTTGGATTTTGCACTTAAACAGAACAAATTGTTATAGAATTGGAATTTAAATGTGGCCTTAAACTTGTTACAAAACTGAGCTTGGCCAATCAGTGGCACCATTACACTGTAGTCATAAACAAGACAAAAGTTGGCTATTTAAATGAATAGCAGATCGTTTTGCAGGACACAGTAACAAGCAAAGCAGCTTTTTTTCTTCAAATGACACTGTTAAATATGAAATACAATTTCAGGCTAATCTCTCTGTGATCACTGAGACTGAAAAAACAGAAACTACTTTATGTGCAGAGGCTGCAGATCTGAGCCCAGTTGTTGAAGGGGCGCATAGCGCTATACAACGGATAACGCTATTCAATGGTTAAATCGCCATCCATCGCATAAAAGTTAACAAAAGGTGCTGTGCTGTTCACTGGATAGAAGTTTTACAAATCATTAGCATTATCAAACCTTCGATCGAGCAACTGGGGCTAAAAATATAATCAGCTGGGCTGAAATACACTCACGTTACCAAAAGAGTGCTATCTCGTTGATTACTTTTCTGTTTCTTAACACGGGTCAAGAAATTCAATCAGATTTCGATTTGCTAAGTTTCTGTTGGATCCTACGCAGAAACGATCTGATTGAAAGCTATATTATTATTAATCCGATTATTAAACATCTTCGATCGTCTTGCTCGCTAAATCAAGCTTGAGAACAACGTGGAATAAATTTTTTAAAACCATTTCGATCGGCGTATCGTTTACGAAATCTTTGAATAAAAAAGGTTAGCACGTAGCAAGAGTAAAACTAAAAGCTAGACTTACTTTTCCTTTCAAAAATCAATAAGCAAAAATCATTGTTCGCTTTCCGTCATAGAAACAAACGCCATTTTGACCAGGTGCCTGCATTGTTTCAGCGGAAGGTGGGCGCATGCGTTCGAAACGATCGAAAGGCGGGAATCATGAATGTCGAGACATGATTCAATGAGCGCGGGTCGTAGCGCGAATATTTTGCTGATTTTCTCGTTGATTTCGCCCAGAAACAGCTGATTCTTCCATTTGATAGATATGTATATCACGACAGAGTGAAACACCATTCACGCTGTCTCAGAAATGGTGCGATTGAAGCGTAAGTCTTCAAAACATGTTGAAGAGGAACCTTCAGGTACGCAAATATATATGTTAAGTTGGACTCTGTTTTGATCATTTTGGGCATTGTATCGTCCGTTCTCGAGTTTAAATTCTGTAAGGAATACATCGAGGCTAGGGATGTATTCTTCCGAACACAAAAGGAAGGCGAATGGGCGGGCGGAATTCTCATTACGGAGAGAAATGTTGGTCTTAATCGCTTCTGCGTTAATTCCAGGCTGTGGCCTGTGAAATCATCAATTTTGTTGCTCTAAGGTCATTTTTCTTCTAAAGTTCTTCTTTATTTTTCCTGTTAAAGCACATCCCGAACGTACGTGCAGCTTGAAGCCAGAATTTATCTTACCGCATTTGAATTTCAGATAATAGGTAGATCTCAGAAAATACCCGAGAGATTGATAAAGGAGGGACGGAATCAACCCTCCAGGGGCACCCCACACCCTTAGGGAACACGGAAATTGGTTGGTGCATCATCTGCAAAATTGCAGGGCATTTAAAAGCTGTTGATAAATATTTGAGTTCTTGTAGATACCCTATATTTTAAAATCTTAGAATTTAATATATGTGTTATTTGTATTTTTTTTGATAGAGTTAATTGACCCTTCCTAGCTTGTGTTCAGCTCAAACTTGTAGAAAAGTGCTCAACAGTTTATTGGAATCCCTGTGTTTTTAGGAAAGGTTTTCATTTGTTTAACTACGGAATGATTCTCTAGTATGGTTGATGTAAACATAAACACGTTGAATTTCTATTTACTAGAAGTCAACGTTTTATGTTGCCTTTAACCACAACTACAGCAATCGCATCAATGTATTTGGTAGAATGGCATTTGATCATGGCCCTAATTTTGAACTTTAACATGTATGGAGATATGTGTATTATTTCCATCTGTCTTTTATTGTACTTAATCCTTTAAGTCCCAACATCAGTATGCATATTCTCCATACTGTTCTCTATACATTTGCTAAAGTGCAGACAAGGTGCATTTGTTCAACAGTCATGAACTTCTTTAGTTGGTGATCATTTCCTCTTTTCTCCTGAGCCTAATTCAGGGTGACATTGTAAAATTCTCTGCAGGGGTCATATTGATAAAATGCTGTGCAGTTTATTTGCATCAGGAAGGATTTATATGTTACCCTAGACAGAATTATGATTTAGCACATTTAACATACAGTATTATACCTTGAAACTATTCTTGGTGGATTGTCAGTGTTAATAAAATGACGTCTCCAATGTGAAGGCTGCGTGTGTAATAAAGAAAATATCATAATTATTGCACTCTCCAATAAATTGTAAACCACAAGAACATGTATGGGTGCTGATAACATGATAACATGAAGGGACTAAATTTCTTTTTATCTGAAGTTTAATGCTTAATAATTATAATAGGTTTATTCAATATCATCAGTTCTGGCAATACAAGTATTGAAAAACAACTGATTTACAAGCATACTAAATAATAGTAGATAATAAATATGCAAACATGTATTACAATGTGACATATACATATAATATATATATTATTTGTGTATATTATAGATCTAAATATTTACAATCAAAGGTATCTGTCATGTATTGTATGATAAGACAGCCATATTGAATTCAACCTCGTGGTTTATTGCATCCCATGATGCTTATGGTATTTTAGTGATAGCATACATGACAGTATCCTAATAAATTGAAAACAAGGTAATTTACACTATTTATTGTCTAAAAAGCACAGATGAAATAAAGCTACGTTTGAAACACTAAAATTAGAAGAGTTACGCAAAGGAATAGCAATTAGCCATGAAAATAATCATACCTGTAGAAACTGTAACTGCACTTATTTTTCTTATGAGAATAATAATAAAATATTGATACAACCAAGAGACAAAGTAACATCATTAACCCTTTAACTCCTTTGAGTGATCAAGACAGAATTTCTCCTTACAATATGAGTACAAAATAAGCAGACAAGTGGTGAGAATATAGAAAAATATCAGTTATGGGATTACAAGTTAATCCAATACCAAATTCTCCAAACTAAAATGAGATAAATTTCACAATAGGTAGTATGGAGAATTACTGAGATCTGGGAGTGGAAGGGTAAAAAAAAAAAAAAAACTTCACCTCAGTAGTTTATTACAGCCAGAAAGGGTCTTTATTTGTTGCCTGAAACAGGACTAATACTTTGAATGAACTATACCTTGAAACTATTCTCCAGGGTCTTCAGTGTTAATAAAATTACTTCTTCAACCTCAAGGCTGGGAAGGGAATAAAGAAAATGTCATGGTATTTCACTTTCTAATAAATTGTAAACCACATGAACAGGGATGTAGATGAAAGCTGGCAGCCGGAAAAAATTATCGGCTTTTCCTAACAAATTTTCAGCTGATGAATTGTGGATGGATGATATACAACTGCTGAAATAGAAAATGTGGTAAGATATTGTGTTGAACAAAATATACAATTGAACACATTTACCAAATTGATACATTTTGACAGTTCTGTTTTGTTTTGTTTAGTTATCGGCTTTGTGTTAATACATGCGGGATAACGCACACGTATTATTTTAGTCATTGCATTTGACAGAGTGTGGTTTGACATCGCTATAGGATTTTACTATGCCACTATTCCTTCTACAAATGCCTTTTTCTTTTTACCATAAAGATTGTTTTTCAGAAAGACGAGCATTTGACACATTTCAATGCTTTGTGTAGATACAGGGCTGTGGTCTAGTAGTGCCTGGTGGCCCCTGGCACCTTTCTTTTTCCCCTAGGCAACTCAGGAATTTTAGTTTTTTCATAAAAAGCATATACTGAGCACCCTGGATTTCACAGTTTCAGAGCACTGGGCTCCCTTCAATTTTTCTTAGAGCACAGCCTTGTAATACATTTATGATTACAAGTGCTTGCTTGTTACAGAGTTATGTTTTGTAATCATGGCATCTGACAGCGCTGTCACATGTCGATGCAGAAGCTGCAAGCGGCTTCTGGTGCCTGCCGCCAGTTACAAAATATTCTTGTATCTGTTGAAAATTCTAGCTACAACCCTGATGAACATGTGTGGTTAATGATAACATAAACACATTAAAGTTCGATTTATAACAAGTTTGTGTGTTATGTTTGCATTAGCCACGATATTAATTGTACCAATGGAAACTGACTGCACTTAATTTCTATGGCTACTGCCTCCTATGGAGGCAAAGCCATAATGTTGTTCCTATAGGAACAATATCAAGAGCTTGGTTAGCTATGGAAACTGACTGTACTTAATTTTCATGGCTACTGCCTTCTATGGAGGCGAAGCCATAACGTTGTTCCTATAGGAACAATATTAAAAGCTTTGTTAGTTGTTCATCATTTCCTTTATTCTCCCGACCTTAATTAAGTGATTTGAGGTTAGATGCTTGAGGTAAGGGGTTGAAAGATCTCTCAAAGTGTAATCTACATGTACATGTAATTTTTTGTTGATTATACAATAGGAACCAAATTTTTCTTGAATAAAACTTAAATCAGTGATCTTTGCTCTTTTTCTGTATTTTTTTTCTCTTTTACTAGCCAAACGATCCAGACATGTTGCTGATACTCGCAGATCAAACGAGAAAGCTGCGGTGGAGGAAACACTGTTTAATACTGTGGTGCAAAAAGCTGGGCTTCAACTGAACTCGGGCCTGGTGCAAGATATTTTAGGTACAAGAATCCATTCATATACAAATGTAAGATGCTTGAGTCTGCGAAACATTTTCAAAACCTGTTTCTCTTATCCTCATGGCCTTAATATTTTATTCAGCTGTGATATAATTAATGTAGGGAGAAATTAGATGCTAGTCACTGTAAAGGGGTTAAATGGTTAAATAGCTCTCCCTCTGCCCATCCAATTTTAAACTCAAACTCTAGCTTCGAGTTTGGATAAAGAGCTTAGCAGTTTATTAGAGCCATGCAGTTAGGATTTTTATCAGTTGTGGACAAGACTGAAGGTATCATGTATCGTATCTTGAAGTGATTGTCCAGCTTCTTAAGCATTTATAACACTACTTCTGTAAACTGAATACATAGGATGTTGTAAAGAAAATATCATGGTATTGTGCTTTTGAATAACTTCTAAACTATGTGAACATGACTTCGTGTGGTTGCTGTAAACATGAACACATTGAAGTTCAATTTATTTGAAGTCCAATGTTTCATGTTGACATTAACCATGACAATTATCGCGCCTGTGGCTATTGTTTCTGCAGCAATAAATTTGTTCATGGAACCAAATAATTACAGATTGCCTCAGGGCAGCCATCTAGAATCGGGGAGGCAGGAATTAATGAGTTCTTATACCATTTGAAGTATCATTGTGATAT